ACTAAATCATTCTAAGAACTGAGTATAGAATTTAGAATATGGTGAAATAACCAACCACATTTTTCAGGGTTTTTATTTCATACCTTAGCTCCAAGCCTCTTTAGTGCAGCAATATTAATATTAATTTGACAATGTCTCTCGGGACAATTTTTACTACTTTTTTTATCAATCTTTTTGTTAAACATCTCAATTTAAATAGTTTACATGGCACTGACCCTAAACTATACAATGAGTTCACAGCTTCATATATACAAGAATATAGATATTTAACATTAACAAATATGTAAATGCAAAAAACTAAAACTAAAAATATATAATAAAATAATATAACAAAAAAAAAAAAAAAACTAGTACAGTTGTGAAAGAACTATCACTATAGTGGAGTTTACGCGCTATACTATCGCAAGTCATGTTTCAAATGCAATATCCCCCTCCAGTGGCCAGGATAAGAGCAGCACCAAGATATTACTGCTCAAACGAAAATGGTATGAAAATATTAATGTTTAAAAATAAGAAAAACGCTTCAGTGAAAATGTGCAATTGTTTTAGATTTTCCATGCTAAACATGCCACATTACAATGTTACTATCTCTGATTCTGAGAAGGAGGGAATATTACATGGAAACATATTAAAAAGATAAATTCATTTTGCTGCATTGTTAAATTCTTTGCAGACTGTTAAATAAGTCACAAAGCGCATACGAATAAATTACATTTTCAGCGATGAAAGATTCTAATTTCTGCCAGCTTTAGTTGCCTAACTGTATGAAATATGTTAACAAATATGGAATAAGCAATGTATTTTCTTGTAGTAATAATGTATACCATAAGGCCTCATGCACTGTGCATGAAAAATGGTGCTTTTAACCATTAGCTGCCCGGCCTATAGCCGTTTGGCGGCCGCAAAAATGCATTAGCTTTCCGGGGTGTACGCCATTTGGCGTCCTCCCGCACATGCGCAGTTTGCACGGTTGCAGAGCCGCGCAGCAGCACGATCTATCACCGGCCGTGTCCCTCGGACACGGCCGATGACAGATCTGAGTACTGGCCCCTGTTGCCGTTACCATGTGACCTGCTGTGACCAATCACAGCAGGTCACATGACAGTTGTATACAATGGATGGCTTCATTCATGCCATCCATTGTATACTAGTGTCTAGCTGTGAATGGTCACAGCAGGTCACATGCACATGTCATGTGATTAGCTGTGGTCAAATCACAGCTAAGCACAAAAAAAAAAAAAGAAAAAAAAAAAAAACTGAACCGATGTCATTCAGTTAAATGCTTGCTTATAGCAAAGTAATTCTTTGCTATAAGCAAATTGTGTAAAAAAAAAAAATACTGATCACTTCCCCAAAGTAGTACAATGTCTATGGTAACATTGTACTACTTTGGTCATAGTAAAATATGAAAAACAAAATCTTAAAAAAAAAAAAAATGTAATAAAAAATTAAAAATAATAAAATAAAAAAAAATATATATTTTTTTTTTTCATACTGTCACCAGTCAGTGTCCCTGTTCACCGCCATTCCAGTTATATGATGATGCTGTACTGCACTGGTGACAGTATGTAAAAAAAAAAATTTTTTTTTTTTTTTTTTTCATTTTCCGAAAAATTATGACAAAAAAAATACAACTTCAAAATACTCGCCATTCCTCTTATGAAGTACGTCGGACTGTCTACTTTACAAAAAGGGGTCATTTGGGGGATATCTGTACTGTTCTGACATTCTTGGCCCTCAAGAAATTAGATTGGCTGTCAGTACTTCAGGATTGATCAATATTCAGATCTATACCATAGTTTGTGAACTCTATAACTTTCCTACAAACTAAAAAATACATCCTAATTTGGGTTATTTTCACCAAAGACATGTAGCAGAATACATCTCGGCCTAAACTTATGAAGAACAATTATTTATTTGTAAACTTTTATAATAGAAACAAAGAAAAACATGTTTTTTTATCAAAATTTTTGGTCTTTTTTTGTTAATTTAGCAAAAAATAAAAACCCCGGTGGTGATTAAATACCACCAAAAGAAAGCTCTAGTTGTGTGAAGAAATGATAAAATTTTAGTTTGAGTACAATGTTGTATGACCGTGCAATTGTCATTCAAAGTGTGAGAGCGCTGAAACCTGAAAAATGGCCTGGGCAGGAAGGTGTAAAATTGCCCGGTATTGAAATGGTTAAGGGCATGTGACACTTTTTTTTCTACCTTCATACACCCCTCCATTGTAGCCTATGTGTCCATGCACACATAGGCATTTACAGACGTTTACAAGCAAGAGCATTTAAAGGCAGAATAAACACCATCACTTGTGTGTTAAGCAGAAAAAAATGCCCCATGCGTCTAGCGTGTTTAGAAGCAGGAGCATTTAGAGGCATGCAATGTCTCTTCTGCAATGTAATCCCCTTACCTGCCTGCTCACTGTCTTCTCTGGCACTGTCATCTGCTTACAGCACTGGGTTAGCCTCTCTGTGCCAGAATGACAGCGATGTCATCCCACATCAGGCAATAAAGACGGTAAAAGACCAGAACACAGGAGAAGATGCCAGCACTGGTGAGGGACCATTGAAAACGTGAGTATTAACCCCTTTAGTTCTGCTTTAAATGACTATTCAGAAGTCAACAGACCGCTAACAATTTTTTTCATATTGAAGACATAAAATTCCCATACAAAAAGCCTTTTAAGACAGACATAATATGCTTGGTTTTTATTTTTATTTTTTTTCCTCTTTGTGTTTACTCATGTCCCCCACAGCTATTACCTTTTGTATCACTTGACCCTCCCTTTTAGATTGTAAGCTTTAACGAGCAGGGCCCTCTGATTTCTCTTGTATTGAATTGTATTGTAACTGTATTGTCTGCCTTCATTTTGTAAAGCAGTATACAAACTGTTGGCGCTATATAAATCCTATAAACAGGGGCGGACTGACCATTTGAAAACTCGGGCACTGCCCGAGGGCCCGGGGTCAGTAGGGGGCCCCATGAGATGCCCCTGGTACCTTTTTTCATAGGCTTTTTTGAGTTTGGGCAAGGACACAGGGGCCCCATGATCCCCTATTGCCCGGGGGGCCCCATGAGTTGTCAGTCCACCCCCTACCTATAAAGTAATATAATAATAATAATTATCCCTTTGTACCGCTTCTTCCACTCATACTCCAGCCGTGCTATACAGGGACTGTAAGAGGCTGACACCAGGTTGAACTTAGGTACCCACGTTACTTAGATTAAAAAATACATTTATTGATGTACGAATTATTACAGAGCTGAATTCATTTTTGTGTTTTATATTTGCCTAGATTTTAGCTTTTACTCTTCAGTCTTCCATTAACCAGTTCTTACAGGTATGGAGGAGCATCTGACCCACTCCTTGAATATGCTGAATATATAAAATATTATGAGAGAAATGAAATACAGTAAGCACCACAATTTAGCTTTGCAATGGCTGTAATTACTGGAGAGACCTGGGAATTTCAAAGAGGATATCTTACCCCTGGAATCCAAGAGAACTATAACATGTCATCCAAATTGCCAACAACCACAACTGAAACAGTAGTTTTGTATGTGGTTGGCCTCCAAGCAAAAACATTATTTTCAGTTACAGCAACCATACAAAATATATGCAAATCAAGTGTTGCACTATGCAAACTCAAAATACAAAAACAAAAAAACATAAATGTGAAATTACAAAGAAATATCCTTTTGTGAAAAGTCCATGTGAAAAACAAATATGTTTGAAGATATCAAACATTCCTCCAAGCAGGTAAGTGATTAGGAAATTACCACCATCAACTCTTGAAATAAAAACAACCACCTCAAAAGTTCAGATATACACTTACCAGAAGTAAATGATATTCTAAGTAAAGAAAGGTCAAATGGGCTAATGATAAATAATCATCCAGAATACTCCACTTCCACTTACGATGTTTGGAAGCCTACACATCAAAAGTCACATCTCATCCCACCTCCATACTCAGAACATAGAAAAAACAAATGTAATACATATCATAAAATCCTTAAAAACCATGTATTAGTCTTTAAAATCACACTCACAATAAAAGTAATTCATATGCACATTAAAAAAGGTCCCAGCCTGCGTGTATGGCATTTTACTGTTACTTCTGGTTTCCTTGATGACGTCAACATGCCGCTCTGCCCTACATGTTTCATCACAACTGACTTTTTCTGGGGCACCGCACAAAATAAACACTTAGAAAAAGCATTATGGCTGTAGTGATTGTGTAGTGGTAGGATAGATGAAGATACAAGGTCATTAATTCATTTCAACTTTCTGAAGTGGGAAAAAAGATAGGACACACTCCTGTCATTGTTTAAAAAATGTAAAGGTATAGAGCTTTGATGAAAGGTTTCAGGGTAGTTTGACACTTAAAGCATTTTTATAGAGGTCTGTACATCAGGCTAAAAAGAGAGTAAACTAAGGAAGGAAGAGGGATATAGTTTCAAAATAGTAAGTATACCCTTTAGTACTTTACTTTAGACCATCGTATGTTTAGACCCTACTCAAGCACAAAATACCTTACTATTATTAACCACTTGCCTACTGGGCACTTATACTCCCTTCCTGCCCAGGCTAGTTTTCAGCTTTCAGCGCTGTCGCACTTTGAATGACATTTGCGCGGTCATGCAACACTGTACCCATATAAAATTTTTATAATTTTTTTGAGACAGATAGAACTTTCTTTTGGTGGTATTTAATCACCTCTGGGTTTTATATTTTTTGTTAAACAAACCAAAAAGAACTGAAAATTGTGAAAAAAAAAGTTTTTTCTTAGTTTTTGTTATAAAATTTTGCAAATAAGTTATTTTTCTCCTTCAATGAGGCTGCAGTGATGGGCACTGATAGGCTGCACTGATGGGCCCTGATAGGTGACACTGATAGGCACTGATGAGGAGGCACTAGTAGGTGGCACTGATGGGCATTGACAGGCATCACTGATGGGCATTGAAAGGTAGCACTGATAGGTGGCACTGATAGGCGGCACTGACTGGCACTGTTAGGTGGCACTGACTTGCACTGTTAGGCAGCACTGATAGGCAGCACTGACGGGCACTGATAGGCGGCACTGACTGGCACTGATAGGTGACACTGAAAGGCAGCTCAGGTGGGCACTGGTAGGCACTGATATGTGACACTTATGATGGACACTGACAGGTGTCACTGCTGGGGCTACACTGATCATCAGAGCACACTGATCATCAGTGCCCTGATGATCAGTGTACATGTCCCCACCGAGGAATGCCGATTACCTGCTCTCCTCTCGAGCTGTCACCATGACAGCTCGTGAGGAGAGAAATGCCGATAATCGGCTTTTTCCTATTTACATGCGATCAGCTGTGATTGGACACAGCTGACCACATGACCGAGCCGACATCTTCGTCTCTTTCTGTTGATCAGTGATCCGCTGTGTCCGAGGGATACAGCGCACCACCAATCGCCACGCTGCACGCTCCCCGGATCCGCACATGCGCGGTTAGAGTGGGAGGACGTCATATGACATCCTCCCAGAATGAGAGAACCGCCTTGTGCCCTTCATTTCCTTATATGGCGGGCGGGAGGCAGTTAAAGAATGGTTTCTAAAAACTAAAGCAGAACTCCAGAAAAACAGGTAAATACACAATTAAATACATACTGTATATGGGGCCATATAACTTGCCAAATTTGTATTTTTGTCCAGACAGCTCTACGTTTTACACGTCTTCTTTTCTCTGTCTGGCATGGCAGAAAATCAAATTTTGTCTGCTGCAATTCAGTAACACTTGCATGTCTTGTTCTTCCTCCCTAGTCTATGACTGGACAGTGAAAGGAGAAGCAGCAGACTAAAAAGCTCATCTTTTGAACACTCTCCCAGTCTAAGCTCTACCATACATAGACTAAAAGAGGCTGATAACCAAACAAATGCTTGCATAAAATAGAATTAAACGCTGCATTAACTTTGTATTTTATGTCTGACTAGAATTCAGCTTAATTTCTATGTCTATTCTAGAAAAAAAATATTTTAAAAGGAACGCTACCTTCCTATTATGCAATCTGGTTAGATTTTTTCAAATTGCATAACCTTGGTTAAAGATATAAAATCTACATTTACATAACTCATTATCAATCCCAAGATACTATATTAAACAATCCCTGTTTCCTTTTTTTTTTCCTTTTTTCTGAAATGCATGCTGAAATAATGAACTGTACCAAATATATTTCTGTTAATATATCATGGCAGAAGCAAGGGCATTTGGTTGTTTTTTGTTGCTTTTTCTGTAATAATATACAGCAGGTAAAATAAGTACTGAACACGTCACCATTTTTCTCAGTAAATATATTTCCAAAGGTGCTATTGACACAAAATTTTCACATGTCGGTAAGAACCCATGCAATCCATACATACAAACAAACCAAAACACATTTCAGATTCAATTTCAAAATTCAGATCAAAGTTCAGAAATTAAGGTATGTGTGAAATAATTGAATGACACAGGGAAAAACTATTGAATACATGAAGAAAGGGAGGTGCAAAAAGGCATGGACAACCAAGACACCAGCTGAAATCTAACAGTAATTAGAAAGCAATCCTGATCCTTGTGCAAATTAATATAAGTTGGTTCAGTCTCAACTGATGGTCTATAAAAGGTGTCTCCTTACCAAGGTGTCACATCTCATGACTGGTAAAAGCAAAGAGCTCTCTTAAGACCTTCACAACTTTATTGTTGCAAACCATACTAATAGCATTGGTTACAGAAGGATTTCTAAACTTCTGAATGTTCCAATGAGCACTATTGGGTCCATAACCTGGAAGTGTAAAGAACATCCATTTCACCATAAACCATCAACAACCAGGTGCTCCAAGCAAGATTTCTGACAGAGGAGTGAAAAAAATTATCAGAAGTGTTATCCAAGAGCCAAGGACCACTTGTGGAGTGCTTCAGAAAAACCTTGAATTAGCAGGTGCAATTGTTTCAAAGAAAACAATAAGTAATACACTCAACCGCCATGGCCTGTATGCACCCCTACCATGCAAGACTATTGCTGAAGACAAAGCATGCTGAAACGTGTTTAAAGTCTGCCGCACATCATGTAGACAAGCGTGTGAAATACTGGGAGAATATAGTCTGGTTAGATGAGACCAAATTTTTATTCTTTGGATGCCATAATACACACCGTGTTTGGATGCTAAATGGCACTGTACATCACCCCAAAAACACCATACCAACAGTGACATTTGGAGGTGGGAACATCATGGTGTGGGGCTGTTTTTCAGCATACGGTACTGGCAAACTTCATGTCATTGAAGGAAGGAGGAACGAAAAAATGTACAAAATCATTCTTGATAAAAATCTGCTGCCATCTACCAGGATGATGAAGATGAAATAAGGGTGGACATTTCAGCAAGTCAATGATCCCAAACACAAAGCCAAGGAAACTCTCAATTTGTTTCAAAGAAAGAAAATAAAGCTGCTAAAATGGCCCAGCCAATCACCTGACTTGAATCCAATAGAAAATCTATGGAAAGAAGTAAAGATCAGAGTTCATAGAAGAGGCCCACTGAACCTTCAAGATTTGAAGACTGTCTGTCTGAAAGAATGGCCCAAAATCACATGTGACTAGTTTCTCCATACAGGAGGTATCTTGAAGCTGTCATTACCAACAAAGGATTTTGTACAAAGTATTAAATACATTTTAGTTAGAATATTCAATACTTTTTCCCTGTGTCATTCCATTTTATTACACATACCTTAATTTCTTAACTTATTTGTTTTGGTTTCTTTGCATGTATGGATTGCATGCAGGGGCAGACTGACAACTCATGAGGCCCCTGGGCAGTAAGAGATAATGGGGCCCCCTGTGCCCCTGCCTACACTCAAGCCACACCCACACAACACCCTACCTACATATTTCAGCTCAGCTGCATAGAAGGGGCATTTAAATATTTACTGCAGCAAAGTCTGCATGAATGTTCCTGGCTTCTTTCCGTAGAAGCCACTGGGCACTTTCAGGTTTAAATATGGCTGCCATGTGGGGGAAGTGAAAGGGAGAGGGAAGTGAGAGGGTGAAAAGGAGGAGGGGTGTGTCAGAGAGAGAGAGATAGGAGGAGTGAGAGAGAAAGGAACGGATGAGAGAGGAGGGGTGTGTTTTTAAATTGCGCTAAAAATTAGGCATGGGTGTGGTTAAATAGTGTCTGAGATGACTTTTATAGTGCAAAATGAGGTCATGTTAAATAGGGAATGTACAGTGTGTAGTGTATGGCTATGGGTAGTATGTGTAGGATGGTGTCAGTAAGTGGTGCCAGTAGTTCATTTTTATTAGTATTATTTAATTTTTTTTTTACAATTTTATGATTTTTTTTACAAATTAATGTTTTACTATTTTTTAAATTTTTTTTCAAAATGCTTTTCGGTGGCCAGTGGATGGTGTCAGTAGAGCAATGGTGTGGGTGTCAGAATTTTTTAATTTTTATTATCTAATTTTTTATTATTTTTTACAATTTATTTCTGTATTATGTTTTTCACAATGATTTTGTGGGGGGGCAGTGGACAGTGTCAGTAGGGAGTGAACAGGGAAAACTAGTATATGTTGGGCTGTCATTAGAATGGGATGAATAAACAGAATCTGTACCCCCTTATATCGGAAGGAAGGGAATGGATGGAGGGAAGGAAGGAAGAAAGAAAAGGGAGGGAGGGAATGGATGGAGGAAGGAAGGATGGGTGGGAGGAAAGAATGAAGGGAGGAGATGGAGGAAGTAAGGGAAGGAAGAAAAGGGAGGGAGGGAATAGATGGAGGAAGGAGGGAATGAAGGAGGGGTGGGAAAGAAGAAGGAAGGAATTATGGAAGGGAAGAAGGAAGGAAGGAATGAAGGAAATGAAAAAGAGGGATAGGAGAAAAGAATGAAAGGAGGGGAGGGATGAAAGAATGAAGGGAGGGGATGGAGGAAGGAAGAAATGGGAGGAAGGGAATGGATGGAGGAAGGAAGGAAGGAATGGATGGGAGAGAGAGGAGGGAGAGAGAGAGAGGGAGAAGAGGGAGGGAGAGAGGGGGAGAGAGAGGGGGGGGGAAGGGGAGAGGGGGGGGAGAGAGAGGGGGAGGGGGGGAGATGGGGGAGAGAGAGAGTGAGGGAGAGAGTACATTCAGAAGCACCACAGAGCTGCCGGCTGATCTGGACAGGAGAGGCAGAGCAGATCCTCTCTCCTCTGCTCTGCCGTGGCGGATGGGGGGAGGGGCTGTACACTGTCAGAGAAGAGGAGACATCAGAGACCTGCGAGGGGGGGGATGAGGAGCACAGAGGGGGGGCCCAGGAGGGAAATCCGATGCACAGTCAGGGATGATCAGTGCAGGGGAGGGACAGTGACAGCATCGATCTCCCTGCTTGGATTTCAACAAGGCAGCTGGAAGCCTCCCCTCCCGCGGCTTTCAGCTGCTTCATTGAATTCCATGCAGGGAGATCGGTACTGTCACTGCCCCTCCCCTGCACTGATCACCTCCGACTTTGTTCCTGATACATGTCATGGGGGCGGCCGGGGTGTGTGCAGGGTGTGTGCAGTGAATACCTCGCACCCATGGATGATATGCCTCTCACCTTCCCACTGCCCACCAGCTCCATCACCAACACAGTGTCTGGACCCAGTAACCCGTCTTGCTCTGCCACCACGTGAAGTGACATGTGAGCTACTTCTGGGTCGGGATCTGAGACTGCCTCCTCCTCCGCTCCCCACACTGTCACTGGACAGTGATCCTTTCATGGACCCTCCAGCAATGCCCGAATGGTCAGTCCACCCCTGATTGCATGGGTTGTTATCAATAGCACCTTTAGGAATATATTTACTGAGAAAAAATGGTGACGTGTTCAATACTTATTTTATGTGCTGTATATGATTATGTTGCCAAATTTTATCTTTAAAACTTTCATGTTTACTTTTTCTCTTTTGAAAATTCAATAGAAAGATCATTTGCATAAGAAATGGAATTAAACAGAATTTATGGGGTTCCTAAGGGTTAAAACAAGCCAGTGGCTAGCCATGTATCTCAGCAAGTGTTACGATGTCTGTAAAATGAGCTTTTAATAACATTACTGCCCACACGCCTTAACAAGATTTTAGCAGATTACGCACATAACTCCCTCCTGTGAGATAAACAATTTTATTTATATTTATGTCTGTGTTCATGTCCCCAAGCTTTTTTTACAGTATTAGGGTCTTGAACTAGGAAATCTTTTGTATTTAGAGTTTTGTAATAAGTCTATGAAAGACTGAAAAGTATCCTATTAAAAGAAAAGAATCGTGATCTGGGAACAATTTGTTTTATTTTGTAAGTTTTTATACAGATTTTTTTTACAATTTGTTTTTACTATAGGTGTTCACTTTTCATTTTAGGAATACA